CGGACCCTTATTCATGGCTCACCTCCAAAATTGGGGTTTGATACCCGGAATATTATAAATGCCTAATTGTATACTGTATTGTATTGTAGCAACAAAGTAACAACATTTTATAATTTTCTTTTTAACAAAATGAGGCAAAATTTTGCAACACACAAACAGATGTCTGATCAAAGCAAGTATTCCCCCATGGAGCAGGCAGCAAAATTAGATTAATTTACAGTGTGGCAGGGCCAAGTTAGACAAGTGAATTTTTATAGTGTATTAAATAGGAGGAGCTCCCCTTAGAAAAAGAAATCATTTTAGTTTTACTTAAGATTCCCCCCCCCCACTTTTTGTTGGTAGTGTGTCCCCCTGTTTGTGTACTTTAGCCCACGATTCCCCCCCCCCCCCCCATATAAGTTGCCACACGGTTGGTCATGCCACATTGAGTTTTAGTTTAGCAGACCAGCAAAGAGACAGGTTAACATTTTAGCCTTCTATTTTCCTCCTACCTGAAGAGTGTTTCCCTGCTTGGGTTTGTCTCCTAGGCCAGTCATTGGTTTTTAGTTCATTTCTGTGCTTTTAGAGTCACTTTCCACTAGTGCTGTGTGGGTTTTATTTTGGCTTTTTTATTATTTTAATCTTGGATTTTGATCCAGATTGAGATTTGTTTTGGAAGTTATAACAAGCTGTACTCGCAATCTCAAGGTTTAACGCAAAGTTGACGCAATCAAGTAGACTTCTTTAAAGTACAGCTGCTAGAGTTCGCAAGGGGTCTTGACAGAAGCCTTTAATCCATAATCATCATTCTTTGCTCCGTGAAAACTAGTACAAACAAATAAAATGCAGATAGATTCACATAAATATTTGTTAGGTCACGAGGTGAATACATGTACATGAATGCAAATATCCAAATCCAAAGTGTGGCAAAACATCTGGTGAAAATGTCTCTAAAATGCAAGAAAATCCATTCTGCAATCTCAATACACAAAAGAGAATATATCATTTACCTCCTTGTAGGATTCGCAGAAATTGATAATTCTGGCTTAATCTTCCAAAAAGGTCGCAAGTTTCATGCGAAAATGTGGTTGCTACAGCATGACGTTCGTTTGTTCGAGGCAGGTATTCTGTCCTCCACTAAATACTGCTTAAAGGCGCTGTGACTGTCTAACGGTGATTCATCTGCATCAACAAAGTATTTGAGAAACCTAATTTTCTGAAGGTTAGAGATATTGATTTTTTTTTTATCAGGTTGAGTTAAATATTTGAGAAGTCTGTTTTGTTTCCTAGTTTCTTTTTCTTCTTTGTCCCAGTTTAAAAACTAAATCACGACTGCATCATTTTGAACCAGGATTTTTCTAGTGCGCCACTTTTTGCCGTTACATTTACATATTTTTTTATTATTTTTGGTGTCGAGACCCGGGATGATTACTTTTCTTTAGGGATCAAGCCATTTATGGTTTTTTTTGGCTGGGACACATTTTTTTCTTCTCCAAAAGTACTTTTTTATAAATCGAAACCCACAGTGCTTTTTGGTTATTGAACTTGAGGAGTGCAGGATGACTGAAACACCATGGTGAAGGTCCGGACTCCACTTCAACTGTGTAGGTTTGACCCACTACCCACCAGCTGTGACCATGTCGACCAAGTTCCGTTAGCTGAACCGCAGTTGAGCATCTTACAGCTGCTGCAACATCAAATATAGATGCAGCAAGTGATTATACAGCAAGTGATTATACAGCAGTTTCGACAAATAAACACATTGAAATCAGTGATCCACCAAGTTATCTGCAAGCAGCAACAACAGAAGCACTACATTTGGAGTCTAGAGTGATCCCTGCACTAGTAATGGCCAGTTCCAGATGTCCCCATCCCATACTAAGTTCCGGATATCCCCATGTCCCCAGTCCCCATCAACGAGCCAGAGCCCAAGATTTGTAAAAGCCTAAATTTGATGATATCCCCTCTAAACGCCTAGCAGATGCAGTCTGGTGTTACAACTGATAATGTAGTAACCAACGGATAATGTATCACCAATTGATAATTTCACACAAGTTGACCGATACTGTATGACTGACCGATAATGTAACAACAATTTACCGATAGTGTAGTAAATGGTAGTACACTATCAGTCGATTGTTGTTTCATTATCGGTCAGTCATATAGTATCGGTCAATTTGTGTGACATTATCGGTTGGTGATACATTATCCGTTGGTTACTACATTATCAGTTGTAACACCCTGCCTTTTCCCCGACAAGTGGCCAGTCAAGCCATGGGGATTGAGGCACAACATGCGACCAGAGCCTACGTGAAGCCCAGCAGAGTGACCAGCCAAAAGGAAGGTATTGGAGCCCAAGCTGGCAAGTTCCAAGTGAATAAGACGTAGCAGGATGGCCCTGCAGCCCAAGGCAGTGCAGCGGCTGTTACAAGCATGGGAGCACCAAGAGGTCAGAGATGGTTTTCTGCTCTTCAGAAGAGGACATCAAGTGGTACAGTACTTCCCAGAGGAACGTGAGAGAAGGTTTTCACAACTCTACATCGGAGCATGGAGACACTTAGCCATGGACAAGTGCTGAAGATGGTGAGAGACCAGTACTTCTGGCTTCCGTTTCAGTATGACGATGATGATTCCTCATCCATCAATGTGGCCCAGCAACAAGAGCAGATATTGGACTCCAGCTCAAGTTCTGCTATAGAAGAATCGGCTGATGGTGACGACGGTAACTCCTCTAGCTCTGACGAATCCGTGGAAATCTTCACCAGACCTAGGCTTGTAATCCGATCATCAGTACGATTGCAATAGTAAATTATTTAGTATATACCGGTAGATTGAAAGTATTTTTTTGAGTATGTTTTTTTGTGATGTCAGGAGCCAACATTTTAAAGATGGCATGAGGAAAAAAAAACCATGCAAATGTAACAGCGAAAAATGGCTCACTAGAAAAATCCTGGTTCAAAATTACCAAGTCGCGATTTAGTTTTTAAACTGGGACAAAGAAGAAAAGGAATCAAGGAAACAAAAAAGACTTCTCAAAAATTTAATTCAACCTGATAAAAAAAAAAAAACAATATGTGACATATTGGTTGTTTTTTTTAATCAGGTTGAATTAAATTTTCTCTAACCTTCAGAAAATTAGATTTTTCAAATACTTCCAAAACAAATCTCAATCTGGATCAAAATCCAAGGAAAAAAAACAAACAAAATAAACTAGATTTACTTATGTTTGCGTACAAACATACCGGTACGGCTGTTTCGGTAATTTGTTTTTGTATGTTTAAATGTCATGTAAGACTGATAGGACAGCATGTGCGGTAGAGTGATCAGGACCAATACAATTCTGTAGATATTGGCCTTCAAAATATGCACTTTTAATATGCCATCATATGTCATGTGATGATGTCATCATGATGCCACTTCAATTTTCATCTATAACACATCTAGGCCTAGGTTGAACCCAATCACACCTGTAGTTTTGTAGATATTGGCCTTCAAAATATGCTCTTTTAATATGATGTCACATGCCCCGTAATGACGTCACAAGTCACGTGATGACATCATCATGACGTGACTTAAATTTTCATACATAACACGTCCCAGTTGAGGTACATAACAAGTTTCAATCAAATCAGACCTGTAGTTCTTTAGATATTGGCCTTTAAAATATGCACCTATATTGTGACGTCACGGGTCACGTGATGACGTCATGACGATGTCAATATTAGGCACACATTTTCAGATGCTGGCCTAAGTGTGTGCCGAGTATAAAGTCAATCGGATTAATCACGTGATGACGTCATGATGACGTCAATGTTAGGCACATATTTTCAGATGCTGGCCTAAGTGTGTGCCGAGTATAAAGTCAATCGGATTAATTTTAGTGCCCAAAGTGACTTCTACGATGAAAACATGTACAATGTACACGTACAAATGCTATGGGGAATGGCTGAAAAAGAATGGGGGGGAAAAAAGAAAAAAAACTTTAACGAAAACATAGGCTGTTTCAGCTGGTTGCCGAAACAAAATAGCCTTCTCCAATATTTAACTCAAACTGATTAAAAAAAAAACAATATCTCTAACCTTCAGAAAATTAGGTTTCTCAAATACTTCCAAAACAAATGTCAATCTGGATCAAAATCCAAGAAAAAAATAATAAAAAACCCAAAAATAAACCCCACACAGCACTAGTGAAAAGTTACTCTAAAAGCACAGAAATGAACTAAAACCAATGACTGGCCTAGCAGACAAACCCAAGCAGGGAAACACTCTCCTGGTAGGAGTAAAATAAAAGATCAAATGTTAACTTGTCTCTTTGCTGGTCTGCTGAACTAAAACTCAATGTGTCATTACCAACCATGTGGCTACTTACATGTATATAGGGGGAATCGTGGGCTCAAGTAAACAAACAGGGGGACACACTACCTACAAAAAAAAGTGGGGGGGGGGAATCTTAAGTAAAACTAAAATGATTTTTTGTTCTAAGGGGAGCTACTCCTTTTTAATACGCTATAAAAATTCACAAGTATAACTTGGCAATGCCACAACAACATGAAACATTCCCTGATATCCCAAAGTGTGTGCATATGGGTATTACTAAGAAGTCTTTTAAGAACAGCACCATTCAGTGTCAAAAGTCCGCACCCTTTCTTTCGCTAAACTTGGTGGTTTCACTCTTGTGCAAGGTGTCAAAACAATTCTCCTTTTCAATTTCAAATAAACCTCAAACTTGACAGAGATATGCTGTGGCCCTCCATCAGTGGCATAGCAAAGTACCCCAGTACCTCCCCCCCCCCACTTCCCCCAGGTCCCCCCTCCACACACACAAAATGTTGCCACTTGCTAACGTAGGAATGTACATGACAATTTTTTTTTTTATTGTAAATCCCCTTAATTCCCATAAACCTATGGCTTCACCAATAAAATCCTGGATACGCCACTGCCCCCCCCCCCTCACTTCTTATTTTATGAAATGATGATTTTGCTTGACTAAATAGTGAGTCCGCTTTACGTTGACCAGATACCTTTATGTTGATCATCATCCTTGGTACCAGTAGCTTTCATGGTAGCATTACTCAATGTCAGTTTCCTTTTGGAGGGTACCTGTGTCTTGGTAGTCCTTAAGCTGTTGCTTGTATCACTCTGCCTAAGCTCTGGGGCCTCTGATAATCGAGTAGCACTTGCTGATTTCTTCATACCGATGGTTTTCTCAATTGTACTTGGATCTGTCCAGTGCGTAAAGCAAAATGAACAACAAATGAAATGGTGTTCCAAATGGAATTTGTTTGCCTTGTTAACACTGCACAAGCAGATCGTTTACAACTGTCCACACGGCCATCCATATAAAAGGTGGATGGACAACATCAACAATGACCTAAAATGTCTACAATCTGGCAATGAGCCAAGTTGAGTGAAAGAAGGCTATCCAGCCTAGTAGACATGTTTTCCTTTATAATTGCATTGCACGGCTGCCATTTTGTCTACGTTTTAACAAATTTCGAGCGGAGATCCGTCGACTCTTTGTTGAATATCAGACGACTATTTACTGTACGCTGACTAAATACATAAAACAGTCACCGAGTTGTGCTATAAATACACATACCGGTACGATGCGTCGCACGTACGTGTTTTGTGAAATGGATCGCAGGACGCGTCGCAGGATATGACGCGTCGCAGCTGAGACACATCGTAGGGATACGACGCGTCGCAGCGCTGCGATGCATCGTAAGTTACGATGAGTTTCATGAAATCGGGTGCAGCTGCACACACACCAAAATGTATACGAGGCAACCTCGTCCCCAGGGTGTCGAGCAGTACGCGCCCACCACTACCTGCTCTCTCACCCTGGTATTGGACCATTTGCATGTGCAAGATTTTTGAACACGTATGCAAATGAGGAATAGTCTGGTGCCTGCCTGTGTGTTACATTTGCATTTGTTTTTGTAAACTGAATCAATTCGTCGTAGCGCGAGCATGGCATGAGTTATGAAAACACGATTTTATTTTAACTAAACTGTTACGAATAACGAGACAACATGCAGTATCACATTTCATATTAGTATGAACAAATTGGAAAGGAAATGAATATTTTAAAGAAGGCGTGGACAAATGATTGCGAAAACACGTACTGCACGTTGTGAATAACAACACCAAGTACACGATATAAATCAATTTCTAGCCAATTGCGGTATCGAATCAGGATACAGGAGGAAAGTTTCCTATCCAGAGCTTATTATTGGAAACGAGGTTGGAAATAAAGTAAGCACTGGGGACGAGGTTGTACACGAGGTGCATTTGTCATTGAAAATATTTTCGTCTGGTCCTCAGACAAGTGAACTATGTACACCATATTAGGACCTATACGTTTGTAGGAACTAGACTACATGAAGCCCTGCGCTCGTATTGAGACCAGCATACAACATACGTACACACACCACAATGTAAACCGTATGCACACAAAAACCAACACCCCCACACACACGAGAACGACCGCAACACGCGCATGCTCCGTTAGTCTCAAAGTGCATTAGTGATTGATACTTGCAGGGCTAGGACCGGCGGCGCGGGGGGAACGCTACGGCTTGCAATTACACACGAGTCTATTGAAGTGGCTGCAGCCACTTCCCATAGACTCATGTGTAATTTCAGGTCGTAGCCAAGTGGCTTTGTACATGCACAAAGCTGGGATCCTGTCTCCAGTCTGCTTAAACCTCATTCTCAAGCAAGGACAATTGCATGCGAGGGAATGCAAAAAGCACATGTACATGAATCTCGCAGCCCTACACACGAGGTGCAAATGCCATTGAAGAAAAAACTTAGTCTGGTCCTGAAGACAAGTGAACTCACGTCCGGCCGAATACTAATTACTATACATACATGTACATGTACATCGCAAATTAGTAAGTTATAAGTAAATTTCGGCATAATTAATTAGTACATTCACAAGATTCACGTGGGTTGACTTTTGAGGCTAAACAAAAAATGGATTTCCAGGGAAAAAAACGGAGAAATCACATCCCTGCCCAAAATAAGAAATATATTTTCTGACAAACTTGCAGTTGCGTAAGTGAGTGAAGATAATAATGATTTATCAGAATTTATCAACTTTAAAGAAATTCTTAGACATTAATGTGGGATTTTCCGAGATTTGTTCAAGTGCGCCACGTTAGGGAACGCTCGGCCGAATTTGTGCCCAATTTCCGGGCGCCACCACTTTTGAATGTCGGACTTAATTTCAAGACAATAAAATTGTTCACAAAGGTTCAACAGCAAGTATTATTAAGGTAATAGTACCATTATTTAACTGAATAAATTTGAAGTTTTTCTACGAAGAGGTTGTGGCAAAACTGCATGAGGAAAGTAGGGGGAAAAGTCAAAGTGCGCCACGTTAGGGAACACCACTATACATTTTTGGGCGATCGTGTATCTAGGGGCCCAGTTCCTATAAGGGAACAAAATCCTCTTTTAAATTATTTGACATACCAAACTAGTTGGTGACATTAAGAACATATAAGTATGTCATAGATAAAGGGCAGGGTATTGAATTTTAAAGGGAAATTTTGGGGTAAAATGACGATGACGACGACAAAACGCAATCACGAAAATAATGATGTCGATCACCACGCAATGTACCGTGAGCACGCAAGTCGCTGCATTCGCGTACGTGTAGTATGTACGTCCATAGACAATGTACTGGTAGATCGCAGCCATTCATGTTAATGAATTAATCGCTGTGTGATGTCTGTGCTATAGTGGCTGAATTTCACAAATTTGCGACCCAAAAAATTATCGTATCATTGAAGCCCCACTACTTTGTCTTTGACATGTGGAGAAGCCAGTAGGTGCTTTCAAAGGTATTTTTGTCAACTATTTTGCTTGATTTTTGGGGTTGCAAATCCATGAAATTCAACCACTATAGCACAGACATCGTACAGCGATCATTCAATAACGTTTATGGCTGTGATCTAACATTTGGTCTATGGATGTACATGTATACAAATATGTACGCGAAGCGCAGGGGACACGACCGTGACCTGCGTCGATATACAAACTCTGCATGTAGATCGGGGGATGCACCTACGACTGTTTCATGACAAGGCAGTGACTGCACTGTATTGTGTAGAGCGTGGCACGCACGCAAATTTTTGGCTAACTTTGACAGATTTTATGTTCAAGCATAGTCAGGGACATATTATTGATAAAACAAAAATCAAAATGCGGAAAAGCCCTATGTTCTGTTGCAAACAGACATAGATCTCTAGTTTCTTTCTTCTTTTTGTTTCACGCAAAACCCCTTAGACTTTGTACACGAATTTTGTACCCACCACTTTTGGCATTGAACTTTGTCATACATCATTCAAATTAAGCATATGCATTGTCCTTATGGCAAAGTTGTGCCTCGAAGAGTGACGTCATGATTACGTCATCAGGGATCACGTGACGTCATCACAAACGTGTATATTTTGAAGTCCTATATCTACAGAACTGTAAGTCCGATTGGGTTGAAACTTGGTATGTGGGTAGACCGGGATGTGTTATAGATAAAAAAAAAAATGAGGTGACGTCATGATGACGTCATCATGCAATTTTATATGAATATTTGTATTTTTGGACCTTTCAGCCATATCTCATGAACGCACCATGCAAAATTCTTTTTGTATTTGGTTTGTTAGGTAATAGGTATATGGGTGTTTACATAAATGTGGAGGCCAGTGTGTGACATTAGGGTCAAATTTTCAAAATAACCAAATTAAATTCAGCTTCACATGGTTTTGTAGTCTAGGGTCTATATTTTGTCAAAAACAAAACCATTTTTCTGTAACATAACCTTTTTTAGAGTAGCAACATGATAAACTAGCATATGGGACACAAATTTCACCTGTAACAGTGACACCAAATTGTTAATTTCTTTTAGAGCTCTCACCAGGTTATTGTTCAGGTATGGTAAAGACATGTTGCTTTTTAAGCAATTATTTGCAACACATACAATGTATAAGTTAAAAAAAAACATTTGTTGAAAATCAAATATCAAGTTTTAGGAAATTTGACATATTATGAGGATTACAAAAATGTAGCTCTCACTTGACATAAAATTATATTATTATAAGACAAACACTCACTTGTTCTCTAAAAGCAAGTTTGACAGCCAAAACTGCAACTACGAAGAGCAATGAAGATTTACAAACACCACTAGAAAGCATGTTATTGTAAGTAAAGCCTGGTGTTAACCAGCATTTCACCTGTAACGCTGACACCAAATAGTCACTGTTACTGAGTGACAATCCTACAACTAACTAATAATAATAGTAATAAATGGTATCAAACCATTTAAACCTTTCTATTTAGTGATAAGCTTGATGGTTTCTACATCAGATACTTGTTTCTGAGACTGGAAGTTTAGTTTGTTATAATAATCATTTCACCTGTAACGCTGACACCAACACCAAAAACACTTTTATCACTTTTCTTCACTGTAGTTCTACTTTAACCTGTCCTATGCCAAAGTTTTCATTGTATTAAAAAACTTAGTCATTATTTTAGCTAAAAACTCAATCATCAATCAAACAGGTGCTTTTGCTTCATTGTTTCAGCTGAAAAGAGGTATTTCACCTGTAACGGAGTCAGTGTTGACACCAAAAATGTATTGCCTCTTATTTCAAATTCTAAGAGAAGGATTCAAAATGTAATGACATCTATATTCCAAGCCAATCTCCAGGATATATTTTTAGTTAAACTTGTTGACAAAAACAGTTTGACAAATTCAGAGTGCAACTGCAAAGTATCACACTGTAATGTTTTTTGATGACACCAAATTGATCTGCCAATATTTAAAATTGGTATATTTCTTGTACTTCTTTGAATTTCACTTTTGGTCTTCTTTAGTCTCTTTATTTAATGAAAGACTTCAATAATCACTTAAAATTTAGAATAGTTGACAGTTTCTACAAATATTATAATCAATGGTAAAGTTCACTCTGTAACAGGATTTGCTGACACCAAATGTTACAGAGTGATGGTATTTTTAGCGGGCATGTCAAAATGATACAAAGTTGGCGATGCACAAACATTGTGTTTAATATTAAGTTGTGGGTTACCATCAATCATTTAGAATTAAAAAGGACCAAATTTATCAATTGAAAGAATGAAAACTGTGCACCATTGGACAAGCTTTAAAAATGTCATGCAATTTTACCTAAAAATGTCATAATTCTGGCTAATTTTTGAT